TGAATAAAAAGGACTACATTTCTAAAATGGAAACTCTTCTGCAGGACAAACACACATATAAAATATTACGAACAGATCCAACCCAAAAACTACAAAAAGCGAATAACAATTTGGTCTCAGAATTATACAAGAACAAGAATATAACTTTGTTGGAAAAAAAGAAATTATCTTGCACCGCAGCTAACGCGCCTCGAATATATGGGTTGCCGAAAATTCACAAACCCAACATCCCACTAAGACCAATTGTTTCGTCAATGAATGTACCATGCTATGAACTTTCAAAGTATCTTGGACAGATTTTAAAAAACCTAATCTCGAAGAACTATAATATTAAAAACTCTACTTCTTTAAAACAAAACATAAAAAACATCCAACTTGACAACACAGACATTCTAGTCTCATTTGATGTAGTGTCACTTTTCACAAATATTCCTGTCCACACCGCAATAAAAATCATAATGGAAAAATGGGATGAAATAAGAAAATATACAGAAATACCAAAATCACGTTTTCTTCAAATTTTACAATTTTGCCTCCAAGACAACAACTATTTCATGTTCGACGATAAAATATATAACCAAGTATTTGGAATGCCAATGGGAAATCCACTATCACCGACAATAGCGGACATAGTCTTAGACAAACTACTTGACGACACACTAGCTGAGCTACAAAGTAAGGACATAAATATCAAATATATAGTCAAATATGTAGATGATATTTTAGCAATTATTAAAAAAGACGAATCAGATGAAATTCTAAACACATTGAACAAATACCACAACAAAATACAATTTACCATGGAAACTGAAACAGAAGGCTCAATATCATACTTAGATGCAAGATTAATTAGAAATAACCAAAACATAGAATTCGACTGGTACACAAAAGACACATCATCTGGTAGAATAATCAACTATCATGCAACACAGCCGAAAACACAAATCCTTAATACTGCCAAAAATCTCATACATAGAATATTCAGCATTAGTGACGCAAAATTCCATAATAAGAACACTGACACAATTTTTAAAATTCTAAAATACAATAGTTTTCCATATAAAGTTATATGGACATTAACTGACGAAATTAAAACAAAAATACAGAGAGATGTCAAAACACCGGCGGATAATGAAAAGACAGAACCAAAAAGTTTTTACGGTGTAACTTACATCCCTGGGTTATTTGACAACAAACAACTGCGACAAATCATTAACAACAACAACATTAACTTTGCATATAAATCCAACACAACGTTAAGCACAATATTTACAAACACAAAAACACCTATTGACAAACAACAACAGAACAACGTTGTTTATAAAATTACATGTAAAGGCAAAGCGAATGAAAGCTGTAACAAAATATACATTGGAACAACAAAGCGATCACTAAGCACACGAATGAGCGAACACAAGTCGGACATAGAAAAACAAAAGGAGACAACAGCGCTATCACAACATGCCTTTCACACTGGCCACTCACCAGACTTTGATAGCATAGAAATATTAGACAAAGAGAAAATAGAAAAGAAAAGACTAATGATTGAGAGCCTTAGAATACAACAACATATTGACAAGACGATGAACCTAAAAGAAGATACTGACAACATAAGTTCGTGCTATGGAGTGGCAATAAAGTAAAAAACTGTGATATTAATTTTTAAGTAGTGTAGTTTATTATATGTTCTATGTAAACTCGTCTTAAAAATTATATTGTAAGTTTATCCCATCTTGTGAATTAATATGAAATTGAAATGTTAATTTTTGATTTATTTAAATAGACGAATTCCCCATTTGATGTAGTGTCACTTTTCACAAATATTCCTGTCCACACCGCAATAAAAATCATAATGGAAAAATGGGATGAAATAAGAAAATATACAGAAATACCAAAATCACGTTTTCTTCAAATTTTACAATTTTGCCTCCAAGACAACAACTATTTCATGTTCGACGATAAAATATATAACCAAGTATTTGGAATGCCAATGGGAAATCCACTATCACCGACAATAGCGGACATAGTCTTAGACAAACTACTTGACGACACACTAGCTGAGCTACAAAGTAAGGACATAAATATCAAATATATAGTCAAATATGTAGATGATATTTTAGCAATTATTAAAAAAGACGAATCAGATGAAATTCTAAACACATTGAACAAATACCACAACAAAATACAATTTACCATGGAAACTGAAACAGAAGGCTCAATATCATACTTAGATGCAAGATTAATTAGAAATAACCAAAACATAGAATTCGACTGGTACACAAAAGACACATCATCTGGTAGAATAATCAACTATCATGCAACACAGCCGAAAACACAAATCCTTAATACTGCCAAAAATCTCATACATAGAATATTCAGCATTAGTGACGCAAAATTCCATAATAAGAACACTGACACAATTTTTAAAATTCTAAAATACAATAGTTTTCCATATAAAGTTATATGGACATTAACTGACGAAATTAAAACAAAAATACAGAGAGATGTCAAAACACCGGCGGATAATGAAAAGACAGAACCAAAAAGTTTTTACGGTGTAACTTACATCCCTGGGTTATTTGACAACAAACAACTGCGACAAATCATTAACAACAACAACATTAACTTTGCATATAAATCCAACACAACATTAAGCACAATATTTACAAACACAAAAACACCTATTGACAAACAACAACAGAACAACGTTGTTTATAAAATTACATGTAAAGGCAAAGCGAATGAAAGCTGTAACAAAATATACATTGGAACAACAAAGCGATCACTAAGCACACGAATGAGCGAACACAAGTCGGACATAGAAAAACAAAAGGAGACAACAGCGCTATCACAACATGCCTTTCACACTGGCCACTCACCAGACTTTGATAGCATAGAAATATTAGACAAAGAGAAAATAGAAAAGAAAAGACTAATGATTGAGAGCCTTAGAATACAACAACATATTGACAAGACGATGAACCTAAAAGAAGATACTGACAACATAAGTTCGTGCTATGGAGTGGCAATAAAGTAAAAAACTGTGATATTAATTTTTAAGTAGTGTAGTTTATTATATGTTCTATGTAAACTCGTCTTAAAAATTATATTGTAAGTTTATCCCATCTTGTGAATTAATATGAAATTGAAATGTTAATTTTTGATTTATTTAAATAGACGAATTCCCCATTTGATGTAGTGTCACTTTTCACAAATATTCCTGTCCACACCGCAATAAAAATCATAATGGAAAAATGGGATGAAATAAGAAAATATACAGAAATACCAAAATCACGTTTTCTTCAAATTTTACAATTTTGCCTCCAAGACAACAACTATTTCATGTTCGACGATAAAATATATAACCAAGTATTTGGAATGCCAATGGGAAATCCACTATCACCGACAATAGCGGACATAGTCTTAGACAAACTACTTGACGACACACTAGCTGAGCTACAAAGTAAGGACATAAATATCAAATATATAGTCAAATATGTAGATGATATTTTAGCAATTATTAAAAAAGACGAATCAGATGAAATTCTAAACACATTGAACAAATACCACAACAAAATACAATTTACCATGGAAACTGAAACAGAAGGCTCAATATCATACTTAGATGCAAGATTAATTAGAAATAACCAAAACATAGAATTCGACTGGTACACAAAAGACACATCATCTGGTAGAATAATCAACTATCATGCAACACAGCCGAAAACACAAATCCTTAATACTGCCAAAAATCTCATACATAGAATATTCAGCATTAGTGACGCAAAATTCCATAATAAGAACACTGACACAATTTTTAAAATTCTAAAATACAATAGTTTTCCATATAAAGTTATATGGACATTAACTGACGAAATTAAAACAAAAATACAGAGAGATGTCAAAACACCGGCGGATAATGAAAAGACAGAACCAAAAAGTTTTTACGGTGTAACTTACATCCCTGGGTTATTTGACAACAAACAACTGCGACAAATCATTAACAACAACAACATTAACTTTGCATATAAATCCAACACAACGTTAAGCACAATATTTACAAACACAAAAACACCTATTGACAAACAACAACAGAACAACGTTGTTTATAAAATTACATGTAAAGGCAAAGCGAATGAAAGCTGTAACAAAATATACATTGGAACAACAAAGCGATCACTAAGCACACGAATGAGCGAACACAAGTCGGACATAGAAAAACAAAAGGAGACAACAGCGCTATCACAACATGCCTTTCACACTGGCCACTCACCAGACTTTGATAGCATAGAAATATTAGACAAAGAGAAAATAGAAAAGAAAAGACTAATGATTGAGAGCCTTAGAATACAACAACATATTGACAAGACGATGAACCTAAAAGAAGATACTGACAACATAAGTTCGTGCTATGGAGTGGCAATAAAGTAAAAAACTGTGATATTAATTTTTAAGTAGTGTAGTTTATTATATGTTCTATGTAAACTCGTCTTAAAAATTATATTGTAAGTTTATCCCATCTTGTGAATTAATATGAAATTGAAATGTTAATTTTTGATTTATTTAAATAGACGAATTCCCCAGAAGAAGTCGCCAAAACAGCGACGAAACGTCGGGAATAAAATACAAAATAAAATAATTTTGTTTTAATTTGAATATTTTTTGTTATATTTTTTCAATTTTTGTGATATTTTCTTATTTTTTGCATGCGATTTTTTTAAATTTGATTTATAATTTGTAACTCTACATTTTTGTAAAGCTTTTCTACACCACCAACACCCCTATGTGTCGCAATTATCGTCCGATCCTCACGAAATTTTGCATGGGGTAGCGTTAGGGTCAGAATTAAACCCCACCGTTATGTATATGTAAATTTAAGGGATCAAATGGACCAAAAAAACATTCTCCTGATTTTGCACTCGCTCTAAATGAGGACAGAGTCAGGGTCGAGAATTTTAGATGACCATTGGATTATATTTAACTGTAAAATGGATCACGACTTTTGTGATTTTTTTTTTTTTTTTTTTTTTGAATACATAACAACACGGCGGAGTGCGTAAATAAGGGTAACATCTGGGCATGGATCTATGACTTTATCTCAAAATCGAAAACTTCAAAAATAAATTTTTGACATAAGGACAACATATTGTAGTGTTGTAGGGTATCACCACATGGTCGTCCCCGCACGACTATAGCCTTTGCTTACTTGTTTTATTATGTAGATTTTCCAAAAATCCAAAATTTTTACAATAAAGAAGTTTTTCACATTTTTATCCAACAGGTATTTAACAATCATTTACGAATTTTCTACTTAGGAACCCGATGAGTCGCAAATGAGTATTAGTTATAAATGAGTTCCAGCTATAGAACATTAAAAATAACGCTCAAAAACAATCAAGAGTATTTTTTAATACACTTGCAAAACAACTACCTAACTGCCCAATTAGTATTGAGTTAAATATATATATTTATATGGAAATAAAAAAATAACTAAATAAATAAAATTAAAAAAAAAATGTTCATAAAAATAAAATTGGGTATGTAGGGACCCATATAAATTACAATTTTAGCCTTAAGCTTAAATAGAGTTTCTTTTTGTCGTCCTAGTCGTCGCTTCATTCAAAGACTTTACAAATGTACTCGCACACACCCACACACTTTCAAATATTCATGCTCTCTTTGCAAAGAAAGAAAATCAAATAAGGAGCAGTAGCAGTGGAGGAAGAACATGCATTCAGTCTACTCATTCATTTGCATAATATTCGCGAGCGCTGTTTCACACCCCCTTAAACATGGCTGGCTGGCTGACTTGACTGGATGGCTATGTAGCTGCAGCACATTATGATGATTTCTCATCATATTCATCATTCTGGATTCGTGTTAGTTTTGTAAGGCTTTGATATTTCAAATTGGAAGTGTGCGTGAGGGGAAGTGGTAAAGCATGGGTTCTTTTAGCAGGCATATGCTCCAGTGTGTGGGTGTGTGTGTCTCTCTCTCTCTCAGTGTTTGTTTGGTTGTTCACAGACTTTGTAACATCTTGTTGTAGACTTTAATATGATGAAATTCCTTGAAGGCATCGCGAAAACGTAATTTTTGTTCAGTGCCCAATTTCGCATAGAAATCCTGGGCAGATGTCACGAACAATGCAATTTCGTGATGACCCAATTTTGTTGAACTCATTCGTTTTGCTGCTGTTGGTGTTGTTGGTGTCAGCGGTGTTGTTTGTGTTGTTGCTGCTGTTGATGACGCCGCCACTGTGGCTGTGGCTGCCTTTACGCCATTCAACAGCAATGGAAACAGTTTCATTAAATGGAGATTTATGGAGGCCGAAAGGAACACCACGCTAAGACTCCAGACGGCTTTCTGCTCCGGCAACGATAAGAACGTGGGTAATGAACAGGTAAGCCAATCCTGTAATTGTTGCAAAAATGAAGAATCAATGGCCGAACGGAAAACCTGTTGAAAAACGAGAAAAACAAGAGAATAACAACAAACATGAGTAAACAGAACAACAAGAACAACAACAATAAGAGCCAGATGTCATTAACGCCGTATGGTAGCTGGCGTTCACGTAAAAGATTAAATTTGCTGATAAATTAATGCACACACACCCACACACCTACAAATATAAAATGAAATTAAATCAGAAAATACAAAGTAGAATGTGTCTACACAGGACCCAAGGAAGAAGCAAAGGAGGAAGAAGAACACTTCGACGACGAGTAGAAGAAGAGGTTAATGGGTTTTAATTTAATAGTATCGTGTTTACTAGCCGAACATTATACGGAATTAATTTGAGATTTCGTTTCAATGATACATTAAGAGCTTTAATTCCATTCCGACTAGGACATTAGCGAAAGCAGCTAATTGTTATTTTATGGTATTTTAAATGTCATGAAAATGGCGTCGAATTATTCATTGAAATCTAATTTACTTGGCGTATGACATTTCAAAAATTGAACATCTCATTAAAAAAATGAGACATTCTGATTAAACCTTCTTAGAAATGCATGGAGATGAGAGCATTTTTGGTACTGCAATGTCTATACGAATACAGAAATGGGAGTGGAGAGTATTCAAATTCATCTTTAGAAGCTACTGTTTCTGGTCGATGCCTTAGAAATTAATGTTCTTATACATCTTATACTAAGGCTATCCTGATCGAACCTCTAACATTCTTAGCATTTTCTTTTTTAAAACGTATTATTCTCCATATTTATATCCAAGTTCCTCTCTATGGGAGAGATTTTGTTCTCATTATACCCTCAGCCACATGGCTATAGAAAGTACAGGGTGCGATTAAAAAACTGCAACCAACTTCAGACTGCTGTCATTTCTAAGCCACTCGTCCGACAGCTGTTAAAATTATTCCAGTCACATCTCATTATATTGTTTACAAGCGTACAAAAGCATTTTGGTGAGAATTTGGTATTTGTAGTTCGTAATGGATACTACAGCCTATGACAGAAAATTGTCTGTGCAAGTCCACGTCTTCGTATAGTCCCCATATAATGGTACCTCCCGATAATTCAGCATTTTGGTGATTTTAGCGACATTATTAACCGGAATTGTTTCAAATTTGGCATTTGAAGTTCGTAATGGATATTACAGCCTATGACAGAAAATTGTCTGTGTAGGTCCACGACTTAGCATAGTCCTCATATAACGGTACCTCCCGATATTCATTATTTTCATGATTTTAGCGACATTATTCACCGGAATTGTGTCAAATTTTGTTATTTGAAGTTCTCAATGAATACTAAATCCTAAGACAGAAAATTGTTTGTGCAGGTCCACGCCTTCGTATAGCCCCCATATAACGGTACCTCCCGATTCCCGGTATTTTAATGATTTTAGCGATATTATTCACCGGAATTGTTTAAAGTATGGTATTTGAAGTTTGTAATGGGTACTACAGACTATGACAGAAAAATGTCTGTGCTGGTCCAGGTTTTGGTATAGCCGCAATATAATAGTGCCTCCCTATATTCAGAATTTCGATGATTTTAGCTACATTATGCACCGGTTTTTTTTTTTCAAGTTTCGCTTTGGAATATTGTAAAGTTTTTTTTTTTTTTTTTTTTTTTTTGACAAAAGCTGCCTATGCAGGTCCACGTCGTCGAAAAGCCCTAATATAACGGCTACATTAGGTATTTTTAAGATTTTAACAGCATTTTTTACGGATTTTATTTTTTTGAAAATTGCCAAATTCGTTCCAAATGGTGGAGGATATCAAAGCTTGGCCCGGCCACAGCTTTTTACTTGCTCTAACTCTATAGTACTTATTTCCCTAGATTTTTTCATACATCATCCCGAAAAACCAACAGCGGTCGTAAGGCTTACATTCAGAGTACACTAATCACAAACTTTGGATAGATTTGGTTGTCACTTTTTTATTAAGATAAAGATTTTATAAATAATTAAGTGGTTACACTTAACTTTAGATGCAGTTATGCTTTCAATGTGAGTCCTCTCTTTAGTCATCATTAGAACTCCCAGTTATCTCTATTGACAGACAGACACTCTTAATTTCACTTGAATGATATCATAAAATGTTTTTGCAAATAACCGCAATTAAATAAAACAAAAGAACAACTCATAGACGTCGGGCTGACTGACTGACTCTCTTCCTAAACCCTGTAATTTATTTCGCATTGAAATTTAATGATTCAAATGGCAAATAACGTCAATTTCGCCTGAACTCAATAATTCTATGGGCGAAGGAGAACATGATAGTGCGTGTGTGCTTGTGCCGTAGTTATGGAAAGAACTTGGCCAACATATTGGCTAGTAAAAATAACCGCACACACACAAACACAATTACACACACGACTGAACAAGCGAGCGAACGAACGAACCCAGAGATCAATGGTACATAATACAATTTGTGGGGTGGCTGTGGCGCAGAAAACGGAGTTCAAGTACTTACCTGGAATACAATCATTGCAATAACATCGCTATGTGGTTGATTTATGGCCAAGAACTCCTTTATGACCTTCGTCAATATTTCTTTGGGCGGTACTAAATCACGTATCATTTGGCACAACACCTGGCCATAAATCCAAGCCGCTTCTTCGTTTGCGGTTTTAATGCATTGCAGCAAAATATCGACCTTATCCGTTTGTTGGGCGATTATCTCGGGGTCGTCTTGTACAATGCCATTGCTTAATTCGGTATTCTCCAATTGTTTTGAAGAGCCTATTAGTGGAGAATAAATAAAACAGGGAAAGAAGAAGAAAACGGAAATGTTATTAGAAATCATAGGGCAAATTGAAATTGAGCAGAAATTAAATGGTTTGAAATTTGATGCAAGCGTGTTGTAAAATTAGGGCAATTTGGTCAATTCAAATGGGTACGTGTGTATGTCGTTGGTTTATCTACTGATCTAGATTTGCGTAAAGAAACATATATAGCATTTTCAGATTAAATGAAACCTTTTGCAATTCAAATGAAACTTTTTGCAGCGGGAATGAAACCTTTTGCAGTGGAATTGAAACCTTTTGCAGTAGAATTGAAACCTTTTGCAGTGGAAATGAAACCTTTTGCAGTGGAAATGAAACCTTTTGCAGCAGGAATGAAACCTTTTGTAACCGAAATGAAACTTTTTGCAAATCAAATGAAACTTTTAAATTTTTAGAAGGAAAAATAACGAAACATTTGTATTTTTAGTAGGTTTTAAATTAAATCAACTAATTATAACTAATATATAGTTAAAGAAGAATTTTTATTGATTATTAATATCTATGTTTTTATACAATTTTTTTCTTAAAGCTTCCATAAAATACAAGTGTAGATGCAGAAAGATTGAAAAAAGTTTTTCAAGGTATTTTTTTCAAAGGTACCTTTTTATAATCTCCTCCATGGAAAGGATTATATATTAAATTTGTCATTCGGTTTGTAACACCTCTAAATATTCGTCGTAGACCCCATAAAGTATATACAATCATGATCATAGTTGATTTAATGATTTCCACTAATTTGTCTATTGAAATCACGACTGCTCTATCTCCATAATCAACAAAGCTGCGAAGCGGGAATCATTTATTAGGTAAGATTAATTGTATAATATAACTATAAAAAATTGTGGTAAAGCTTAATTTCACATGTCAGTCCTGGCTATACCTATAGAGGCCAAAATTTGTTTAAATTTCTCTTCTTAGCATTAAGCGTTTGGAATTTAATAATATGGAAGCATTTTATATCAAATCAATAAAGAACCATTTGTTATTACAATAATTGAAAATTTAAGAAATAATATAAATAAATGTAGCATATTTATAATCAATAAAAAATCCTCTTTGTCAATATATTAGTTATAAATAATTGATTTAATTTAAAAACTACTGAAAATAAAAATGTTTTGTTATTTTTCCTTTTATAAATTTAAAAGTTTCATTTGATTTGCAAAAAGTTTCATTTCGGTTGCAAATGGTTTCACTTCGGTTGCAAAAGGTTTCATTTCCGCTGCAAAAGGTTTCATTTCCACTGCAAAAGGTTTCAATCCCACTTCAAAAGGTTTCATTTCCGCTGCAAAAAGTTTCATTTGAATTGCAAAAGGTTTCATTTAATATGAAAATGCTATATTAATTGTTAAATACGTACCATAAACAAAATCTTCCCATAATAACCATACATTTTTTTAAATATTGAATACGAATATCTTACTTACAACAAAACCGGACCATTATAAGATTTCTTTAAGAATTAACCCACATTTCAATAGATTTTGTTTTGTTATTTTATGTTCGATGTCCACGCTATTTTAGGTATTGTTGAATTTTCTTTGTGGCGAAGGGTGTGAAGAGTTAATCTTTGTTTATTTTAGAACCTGCCTAAAAGTATGCTCCATCTTCCTGTCAGACTTTCTCGGCAAAGTTTGCGTTTAATAAAACACCCACAATAAGGGATCTGATTTATAAAATTTTGAAGATTATACTACCATTTCGATCTGCAGTGGCTCTATGGTCATATTTTGGTAGCTCAATGGATACAGAACCAAGATTGAACACCTTGTACTTATGTTTTTTTTTTTTTTGCATCAGTGATTCGCCCAAAACGTGTCTCATCGAAGTAACGGTTTTAGACCCTAGGTCTCTTTGGACCAAATCCGTTTCAGGACATTTGGAGTCGGTCCAGCGATGTCCGCCCATCAGTCTGTATGGCTGGTGTCCATGATAACTGTCGGAGGGAGTATAAGATTTAACCCAAACTTAGTACATCGTAATATTATTGTCAAACTTTGATCGAGTTTGGAGATGGGCATTGTTGGTCCACTCCTCCATAAAAGGTCTAATGTTTAAAAAAATGTGTTACTGCACAGAAAGAGAAAGGATAGTCCGATTTTGCTCCAACTTTGCAAATCCTAATATTTGCATCAGTGCTAACTCAGCTGTGAAAATAGACAATATCGGTCCACTCCATCAAGTACCTCCCCCACAAAGGGTCCCATACAAAAGGTAAAAATGTTGAGTACCTATAAAGCTCAAAAAACGGGACATTTACATCCGATTCCATTCAGACTTAATATTTCCATCAACACATGATATAGATATCGGACCAGATTTTGAAAAACAAAACCAACAAAGAAAGATAAATAAGCATCCAACTCTCTTCAAATTTCACATATCCAAATATTTTCGCTAATACAAGATCTGTCGTGAAGATGAAATTGTGACCGCACAAAGGAGCACAATATCCAATACTTATATCCGTCATAACTTCAAAAAAAAAAAAAAATCGGTGATTCTATATCTCAACTTGCTACATCTAAATATCTTACCAGAATTAATAATTTTGCATAAAATTGGATATAAATGTTCGATTTCCTTCAAATTTTGCACATACCAATATTTTTATCTATATTAGATAAGTTATGAATATGGAATACTTCGGTCCGCTATATTTGTTACCTCACGCATATTTCCACATTTTCCAAAAATTTGCACATAGCTCATATAGAATACAGGAAGTTGTCGATATAGTCCAAATCTGGCACGTTGCAATATTTATATCAGTCTTAAGTCAGATACGAATTGGTCAATATTGGCCAACTGCTTCGAAACCTCCCCCATAAAGCGTCAACATTTTAAATAATCATAACTCAAGTCTTGGGGTATACATCTGTCGGCAAAACCGACTGACAGATGTATACCCCAGATGTATACCCCTACCTTTCGTTTCTAGAACAAAATTTCCTGAATTTAAATATTAGAACGACTGTAACAACTTTTCCAAAAAAAATATCGGTTTATGTCGCACCTTCGTAATTTTAATGACCTTTTTCCAATATATGTTTCAAGGATCGACAGTCCATAGATTATCTAAAGGGGAAAAATGGCGACATACTTTTTGCAATGTTCGTTGATTATAAGGATATTGAAATTTCTTCAATCATTTTGATTTTATTAGAGCTCTGAGATACTGTTTATTCTTATTTAACGTAATGATGAAAGTGTGTGTTAACCATTATATCGATTCGCCAAATACAAACTAGACATATACTCTCCTTCCACAGCGTAACTTTAAAAATAAAACCACAAAATGTTTTCCAAATTATCTACCCAATTTGTGTGTCCCAAAAACAGACTTTTAAAAACTGCATTAGCCCAGTGACCTTGGTGTGTAAATAGCTCTTCGATCATTGTTTTTTGACCTGACATACTAAATGAAAATTGAAAAACTGTAACACAACACCCACCAAAACAAACAAAGAGAATAATGCAAGGGTCGGAAGCAATTTCATGAATAAACTGTGAAAGTGAAATAACATCACTTCTATGTAACGAAAATATTGTTGTGTCAGTGGCAGTAACGGCAACAAAGGCAATAACAACAATCGTGGTGATGATGAAAATGAAATTAGAAAAAAAAAACAAACAAAAAATCACATAACCATCAACACCAGTACCAGTCAGTCTGTCCTTCAGCCCTTTGCAGACGACAATTCCCACGAAATCAATATCTGAGATTGTTAATATAAAAATGACAACAACAACAACTACGGCCAACATCAAAAATGTATTTAAAATGTAGCCAATACAATTTCGACACACATTTGCATACAAACAAACAACAACACAGTGTATGTATGTGTGTGGGTCTGTAAGCATAAATGCAAATAAACTCCTAGCAAGTCCTTTTCATTTATCCTTTTCCCATCACAGTTAGTTGTCAAATCATTGTAAAAAATCAGCTAAAAATGTACGAGCTAGAAATACAACACACATACATACATACATTCACATATATTTTTGTAACACTTACCCACATAAATGCAGGACAAAAGTAATTTCAGTGCGGGAATTGAAAATTTCTCGTTTTCCAATTTGGCCAGTTCAAGAGCAAGTTTTTCAGTTGCGGGCCTCAACATTTGGTTTTGGTTGTCTGCACCGCTGCCGCCGCCGCCACTGCTGGTGACGTTACTAACTTTATTGTCCTGGACAATCATACGCTCCAAACCCTATAAATGAACGAAACCAAAGAGAGAGAGAGAAAGATAGTGAAAAAAGCCAAACGTGAAAATAGAACAATGAATGTAAAATCAAAAATTCACATTTGTAGTTATTTTATAAAACCAATAGATGTGAGGGTAGTATGATAAGTGGGGGGAATGTGATATGCAATAGTGGGTTCTAAACAAAAAAAAAATGGAAGATTATGTAAATGGTAGTGGTTGAAAATAAAGATGTTCCAATTAATTATGAATCGATTAAAATTTGAGAGCAAATCGTTTCGAATCTACTTTAGACTTTTTTTACTTATAATATTTGTTGTATAGGCATAAATGCTATTAAAAATATTCCTTTAAAAAAATATGAGTCCAATGTCCAATATGAGTCGAAATGTAAAATTTGTGAATTGTTATACCCTCCACCATAGTATATACCCTCCATACTATTAAGTTTTATATTAAGTTTGTCATTTGGCGATGTCCGTTCGTCTGTAGAAATCACTCTAGCTTACGAACGAAACGAAGTAGGTTGATAAAATTTTACTCAAATACATATTATGTTTGCATGTCTTTTGGTATTGAACGTAGGCCACATAGGTCCACGTCCAGGTAGTTCCCTATTTTCGGTATTTTGGTGATTAAAAGCGACATTATGCGCCGAAAATGTTTCAAATTTGGTATTTAAAGTTCGTAATGGATACAGCCTATGACAGAAAAGCGACATTATTCACCAGAATGGTTTTAAAATTTGGTATTTGAAGTTCGTAATGGATGCTACAGCTTATAACAGAAAATTGTCTGTGCAGGTTTACGTCTTCGTATAGCTCCCATATAACGGAACCTCCGGATATTCGGTATTTTGATGGTTGTAGCGACATCATTCATCGGAATTGTTCCAAATTTGGTATTTGAAGTTCGTAATGAACACTACAGCCTAAAACAGAAAATTGTTTGTGCAGGTCCACTTTTTGGTATAACCCCCATATAACGACACATCCCGATATTCGGTATTTTGATGATTTTAGCTACATTATTCACCGGTTTTTTTTTTTTTCATGTTTCGTATTTGTATATTACAACGGCTTATGACAAAATTTGCCTATGCAGGTCCACGTCGTCGTATAGACTCTAATATAACGGCTACAATCGGTATTTTTAAGATATTAATAGAAATTTCAACGGATTTTACTTTTTTGAAATTTGCCAAATTCGTTCCAAATGGCGGAGGGTATCCAAAGTTCTGCCTGGCCGAACTTACAGCTTTATTACTTGTTTTCTTTACTGATGGATATCAAGGCGAAAAACTTTTGACAGCAAGAGAAGACTTGGGGTAAATTCGCCTCCTTTGTGTCCATATAAAATAGGCCTTCGTTCGGGAGACAAATTTTACTGCAGTCCAGTTCAAACTTTTAATTTCATAAGAAATGTAAAATATTTTTCTACAAAAAAATTAAAATCGGTTGGAAACCCACCAGGCGCAACTTTCCAAATTTTTTTAATACATTTTTCACGTAAAACTATATAATTTTCAATATAAAAATTGTCAAACCCACTTTCTCGAATTATTCTTATTATATTATTATTATATTACATTATTCTTATTATATCTAATTAAGAAAACTTTTGAGTTAATACCAAACATCCAGTAAAATCTCGTCATTATTATAAAATATCAAGTACACTCTAATTTTGAAAGGGGCTGTAATTACAAGGTTCCGCATATAACATTCAAAAAAATATGTTGTGGTATTCAATATTGTATAATACTCCCCTTTAATTACCACACCACCCTGGATATATTTACATATTGTATAACTATCGAAATTGGTTACAACGGAATATAAAAAACACACACACAAACACTCATACACATATATGTGTGGGAAATTTTCTATGTAAACGATTTTTGGCTCTTGTTTCCATTTAGATTTGTTGCTTATTTCAGCATTGTTGTAGTTACTGGCATTGTTGTGGTCCATGACGTTGTTGTTTCTTTTATTTTGTCATTGAAAATGGGGAATGGATGGATTTTAGATGTTTTGAGGTTGGGTTTTTTTATATTTTGCTCTGTGTATTTTTTTTTTTTTTTGTCCTGTTTGTCCTCACTTGGGCTTTTTGAAAAGCCACATGTAAACAGCAGTACTCTACAACTGAAACAACCAACCACAACAATAAGAAACAGCCGAAATCATTTGGCAAAGTTGGTTGAAGAAGCAACCAACCAACCAACCAGCCAACCAGCCAAGCGAATGAAATAAAACTAAAACAAATTAAGATAATAACAATAAAAATAAAAATAACAATTGCAATTGAATAGCAGAGCAGGGTATTGGTTGGAGAGCATCAACATCGTATGCACATATGAAGGCGACAACCAGTGTAGCTAATTTGGATTTTTTTTTTTTTTGGTTGGACCAAAAATTATCAAAGTTATTGAAATAGTTACTACATGACATTGAAAGTTGAAAGGAATTTTGGTATTTATTTCATGGCTTTGTGAAGTAATGCCAATTAGAAAATGATTGCAGGCTTATGTTACGGAAGAGTGAACAGCAGTTATTTTGGATTTGGTATATGTCCAAGTTAAAGCGAATGGATTACAATTCCAAATAAAGAAAAATCTCAAACCATTGCATGAAGAAATAGCTCCTCCTAAACTAAGATACAATACAATGAAAGATACAATGTCTGTATCTTTCAAAACTTGCGAAACAATTCGGCAATTCTTTACAACTCGGTATATTTATTTCTCCTAACGAGAAATCTGATATGAATATTTATCTGATAATATATTTATCGGAATTAATGATTTCGCATACAGTTTGATAAAAGTATTCGATTTCCTTCACATCTTGCCCATACCAATATTTTTATCTGTATTAGATGAAGTATGACAATGGGATACTTCGGTTCGCTATATCTGGCACATCACGCATACTTCTAAATTTTCCAAAAAAATGCACATATCTCATATAAAGTATAGGAAGTAGTCTTTGTATTTTTATATCAGTCTTAGGTCAGATACGAGTTGGTCAATATTGGCCAACTGCTTCGGAACCTTCCCCCATAAAGGGTCAACAGTTTAAATGATCATAACTTAAGGCTGGGGGTATACATCTGTCGGCAAAACCGTCTGATACTATTTTACTTGTTTTATTGTATTAACCATCCTTCTGATATCCAATAACAATTCCAACTCATGGGTTATCTTGTGCGTCTATTGGGACTCCGAATATTTGAATGGGAATAAATATCACTAATATTTTTAAAAGATTTGAATTTCTTGGTTTCGTGTAAACCAATAAAAACGGGTTTTTAATACAAGTCTAAACATATTAAAGCATTTGTATTACAAAACTCTTCAATTATGATTCTCTTGTTTGGGTTTCTTGGTCGATTTTCAAAAATCCAATGAAGCGACAACACTGAGACAACGACCATCACCACTGGCAAAGTGGCAATTCAAAGCCACTCTGTCACTCGGTGTGTAGCTGTAGTTTGCCATTGCACTGGGGTTTATTTTGTTCTCCATGTTGTAATAGCAGCTCATTGAAATCGTGTATCCAGAAACGAAATCAATGTCGGATAATAAAAAAGGATTTCAAATTTGTTTTTATTCCATTTTTTTCTTTTCAGTTCGTTTGTTTTCCGACTGCAACGATGGTGGTTTTTATTGTGTCGCTGATTTAAAAATAATTGAATGGAACGCTGTGGGGGATGCGGATAATTGTACAGGCTTAATGAAATTAATATACCAAAAGATAATTGAGTGAATATCCAATTTTATACAAATAACATTTGTTGAGCGTGGTAGTAGTATGCTATGAAAATATTCATAACATTTATTGTTATGTAAATGAGAGTCACAAGATTACATATTCACTTTCGTTTAGCATGTTTGATAAGCCCGTTGATTGCAATACTTACATGCAAAATGCACAAGTATATTTGTTCATTGCTTGTCTTCTTCAGCAGCTTGCTAACCATCATTTTTGTGTGGTAGGCCACATTACAGTGGGGATCCAACTTGGAAGTCCATTCCATTAAACAGAAATTTAAGGTCCAAATTAATTTCGTATGCAAGTCACTGCAGTGCAGGGGACTGAAAAGGCAATAAACAATACAAATTTTTAAATAATTCATAAATTTAAATTTGTTTCCACTGTCCTTACCTCTCCTCGATGAGACCATGTTTATCGATGTACGATAGAATAATATCCTTTAGACGTATCAATTCATCACTCAACCTGCCAATGGTGGTGTTGGTTTTGCTATAACTCTCCAACAGACTGAGCAGACCATTTAACGCAGCACAGCGCACAAACAAATGCGAAGACTTTAAATAGTTCTTGATTAGACTTTCCAGACTCAACATTTCCAGATGCGAGGGTATCAGCATGCCCTTGGTCTTGCAAAGCAAATAAATCAAATACTGATGCGAAATGGTATCATCCATGGGTATGTGCGACTTCAGATAGTCAGCCTTTTCCCAAATTTGTTTGATTTGTTCACGATTCTCACAGATTTCTGTGAACTTCACTAAATTTGGTAAAATTAAAATATGGTTTTGCTGGAATACAAAGGAAAATAAATGGAGAGAAAAGGCAGAGAAAATAAAATTTAAATGTGAATTTAAAGAAGCTAAAATAGAGAGCAAAGTCGAATCGTAAAAACACTTTATATTGGAAAAATACAGATTTTTGATACAATGAAAAAGAAGTTTAATTTAAGGGAACTTAGATAGCCAAGAATTCGAGTATTTTTCAATGTTCGATCTCGGATTTTTATACCCTCCACCATAGTATGGAGGGTATACTAAGTTTGTCATTCCGTTTGTAACACCTCGAAATATACCTTTTAAACCCCACAAAGTATATATATTCTTGATCAGCATAAAATTCAATGACGATTTAGCGATGTCCGTCCGTCTGTCCGTATGTGGAAATCGCTCTAGCTTCCGAACGAAATGAAGCAGGTTGATAAAATTTTACTCAAATGAATATTATCTCTGCAGGACTTTTGGTATTGAAAATGGGTCATGTAGTATTACGTTTTGGTATAGACCCCATATAACGGCACCTCACGATGTTCGGTATTTTGGTGATGTTAGCGACATTATTCACCGGAATTGCTTCAACTTCGGTATTTGAAGTTCATAATACATACTACAGCCTGTGACAGAAAATTGTCTGTGCAGGTCCACGTTTTCGTATAGCCCCCACATAACGGCAACTCCCGATATTCGGTATTTTGATAATTTTATCGACATTATTCACCGGAATTGTTTCAAACTTGGTATTTGAAGTTCGTAATGGAGACTACAACCCAAGACAGAAAATTGTCTGTGCAGGTCCACGTTTTCGTATAGCCCCCACATAACGGCAACTCCCGATATTCGGTATTTTGATAATTTTATCGACATTATTCACCGGAATTGTTTCAAACTTGGTATTTGAAGTTCGTAATGGAGACTACAGCCCAAGACAGACAATTGTCCGAGCAGGTCCACGCTTTCGTATAACGGTACCTCCCGATATTCGGTATTTTGATGATTTTAGCTACATTATTCACCGATTTTTTTAACTTTCGCATTTAAATATTTTAATGGCTTATGACAAAAGTTGCCTATGCAAGTCCACGTCGTCGTACAGGCCCAAATATAACGACTACATTCGGAATTTTTAAGATTTTAACAAAACTTTTAAAGGATTTTTTTTTTTTTTGATTTTTAAAATTTGCCAAATTTGTTCCAAATGATGGAGGGTATTTAAAGTTCCGAACTTACAGATTTTTTAAAGGTTTATTCTTTAAGGATATATACATAACAGAAAATTGAACATTGGATTCCCTTTTGATTATAGCCTCCATATAATGGTACCGTAAGATTTTCGGTAATTTGAAGCCTTATATAAAAGAGTAGTGAAATAACTGACTGACTGACCGAGAATCAACGACCGGACGAAACGGATGAGGAAGAAGAACAAATTTTGGTGCGTAGGCTTGTCAAAAGGCTGGTTTTCTTAAAAATCGTACCAAAATGGTAAGAAAAGTACAAGAAATTTAATACTTTGTATGGACAAATGGAATGAGCTAGAATACTAAAATTTGGAATGAGAGTCACTGATAGACAGAAGGATAGATGTACAAAAGGTTTTTAGACGTTTGAACTGTAAGGTTACGAAAAGTTCTACAATGATACTAAACTTCTGAAATGGTACCATTTGGTATTATACGAAAGGATATTTGGTAAGAGTATTAAGGTTGGAAAGTAAGTTTGACATATGAAGGTGGTTTTGAAAAGGTGTACTAAGTGCGAACTGCATTGAAAATGAAATATAGATCAATATTGGTTCAGTGTGAATGGATGAAGATGAAATTTTGTATTGTTTAGAAATGTGTACTACAAGTGTAATAAGTAGTACTATATTTGGTACAATTTGGTGTTGGGTGCACATATATAGTGCTAGAAATCTGAAATTTAGTGTTATGATAGTTTTTCATGTGTAACCTGGTCACATGGAGATTGTTTCGGAAATGTGTTCTATGATTGTACGAAAGGTACTAACTGGTACTATATTTGGTATTGGGTGAAGGATAAAGAAAAAATTCTGAAATTTGATATTTAGATTATTGATGGTATCAGTGTTTGAGATTTGACGGTGTTTTGGAAAATGTATGCTATAATTATACGAAAAGTACTAAATGGTAAAAAAATTTGTATTGGGTGAAGGGAAAAAGATAATATTGTGAAATTTGATATATAGTTTACTGATGTTATTTGTGTTTGAGATTTTGCATCCTATACTAAATAATACTTAATTTTGTATTCTGTGAAGCGATAAGGCTGGAATCACGAAATTCGATATTGAGATATGTTTTGGTATCTAGAATTGAGATACGGAAAATCTGTACTAAATTGTACGGTAAGTACTGAATGGTGCTATATTTGGTATTAAGTGAATCTATAGAGCTGGAATCCCGAAATTTGATTTTGAGGAAATATGTACTATAGTTGTACTAAATATAACTAAATATACAGAGCTGAAATATGGAGATTATTTTGAAAATGCGTACTATAATTATTCGAAAAGGACTAAATTTGGTATTGGGTGAAGGGATAGGGTTGGAATCCTCAAATTTGATATTGAGGTCTCTGTTGGTATCTGAGATTAAAATATGAATTTAAAAATGTGCACTATAATTTTTCGAAAAGTACTAAGTGGTACTAAATTAGTTATTGAGTGAAGGGATACAGCCGGAATCCCAAAATTTGATATTGAGGTCTCTGTTGGTACCTGGGATTGTGATATGAAGATGTTTTTGAAAATGTCTACATTAATTGTATGAAGAAAATGGTACTGAAGTTGGTATTGGGTGAAGGAATTGAGTTGAAAACCTGAAATTTGATATAGATGTCACTGTTTGTTAATCTGTGGTTACGAATAGGAGCTGGTTTTACATATACGAGATATAATTGTACTAAATGGTAATGGGGGAATACAGAGTTGAAATCCTAAAATTTAATATTGAGGCCACTGTTGTTTTCTAGGTCTAGTTTTGGACAGAAAAATTTAATGTGGAAATGACAGATTTTGGAGACTTTTTGCTATAAAGGGAAAACATTTTCATATTACTCTTTCCGAAAGAGAAAAAACATGAAAAATATGTAAAACCTTGAAAGTCTGAAAATTTAGTACGTTGATTAAAAAGATTTGATTAAAAAATGTTGTCCAACTGAACAAATTATGTATTTTGAGTACTAAGAAGGTCTAACATGAACTGTTGGAACGAATCTAAAATGTTAAGATTGATTTTTCGCTAATGAAGTAGGGGGACCTGCTAGTGGGAAGACTAACGCCTCAAAAACTATTCAATATCGGAATAACACTCAAATATAACGGAACTTCCAAATTTTGGTGATATCCGATTTAGCTATAAGTCAAGTTATTATGTAGTGGATGGTATACAATATTCGACCTGGTCGGATTTAGCTACGTATTTTTCATGTTTTTCTTACATTATTACTTCTTACAACAGCAACTTACAAACATACATTTATAGCAATGTATATGAGTACGTATGTGTGTTGTAAAATTTACTTACAACCGAGTGAGTTTCACATTCATGTGCGAAATGTGCATCCGTTCAAAAGAATTTATCCGTTCTTTGGTAGACCTTCGTTCCCCTCCCCCTCTTTTTTTCTGTATTTTTCTTTCTTATGTTTATGGAAGTCATCCCACATCCTTGCATTTAAGTCTTTATACAAGCATCACGTTCCAAAAACACAAAAGGAATTTTCCCCCTACCACAACCTCTCCTATTCCTTGTTCTAATATTCGTCTATAAATTTGTTCAACTCCATGGTTATTTTAAGTTTTAGAGTCATGAAATCTATCCAGTTAAACGATTGAAATCTTTTTAGATATAACAACAGATTTCGATGTGTAGGATACACATGTAGATATTTGGATGTGTTTAAAGTCAGGTAAGGGATCTTTAAGCGATTCCAAGAAATAATAATTGAAAAACTGGAAAAAAAAGACATCTCTAAAATAAATATTAAAAACTAAATAAATTTCTCTTTTGAAATTGCTGCCGATTCGGCTGGAACATTGGCTGAAATCTTCAAAATGCCGAAGAAATAGGAACCCTTATATAAGAATATACGAAAAAGTTTACATTATCTCCTCCAAAAACCAATATTAGATCCAATTTTTTATTACCGGAAAAAATTAAAAAAACCTGTTGTTTACTTACCTCAATCATTTGCATCAGAACGTCGAATATCAGTTGGGAACTACTTTTGTAATCCACTCCAGATTGTCGGGTGAAATACTGATAATTCCGATAGGCGGTATTGGCAGCAACACCACTCAGATGTTTGGCCACAATTTCGGGTGACGTTGACGAATTCTTTGCCGCAAGAATTTCCTCATTGACACTGTCGCTGTCGTCAATCGACGATTGACGCGATGCGGAACTCACTTCCATTTGTTGCCATATGAAATTCAAATCAAATTGATTTGCCCCAAAGTAATGGGTACCGATTACCGTATCCGTCTTCAAGTTGCGCTCCAAATTGCCGTGATAGAATACATTGAGCGGTGATATAATCAATTGGATTTCATGCAGTTTCTTGAGGCTAAAAGGAAGAATGAGAAAAAAAACAAAAATGATTTAATTAATTTTTCCTAGAGAAAAAAAATTAATTGTTTGGTTTTATATTAATTTCCATTTTCATGTTGTTGTTGCTACTACTGCTGCTGCTGATGAATACATTAAAGTGTAAATTTTTCATAAAATTATATCCAAAAAGAAAAACTTTATTGGGTAAAAAAAGTTTTTCACTTTTTTCAGCAGTTTTTTTTAATTTTTTTGTGGCGGGTTATTGTTTTATTCTGGGAAATGTGTAATAAAACAGTTTTACAACAGAATCCTTGCATTAGGGCAACCAGCGGAGAGAGAGAGAGAGAGAGAGAGTTAAGAAAAACTCGCCATGTTGTAATTTAGACATGAAATTGGGGCCGGCAGATGGTTAGGGTTAATGTTGTTGACGAAACAAAACTGCTTTTAGCAATTTTTGGTATCTGAAGTGATTGGACATTATTTTTAACAGGAGTTCTCTGCCACAGATTACAGGACATGTGCGATTTTCACACACACTCAAACTATCAAGTTTCCTGTTTGTTTGAACGCATATGAATTATTGATAATTTTGATCGTTTTTGGATTGAATGGAAATTTTAATGTAAAAAAATTGGCCTTGATGGAACAACAAGTGGCCTCGTCGGCAGATATATACCTTTAGCTATAGTTTCGATTCTATTCGCAATTGAAAATTAGTTGCGAGTGGCAGTATTTGAAGACCACACTTATAGAAGAAGCTTACTTTCCTCTCTTTTACTCTATGTAGGAGCGCATGGGAAAGTGAAACCGAGTAGAAAATAAATTAGATTTTTGGTGATTGATGTGTTAGTGTGTATTGTACCAAGCAGTTTTTGATGTTGTTGAAGCCTGGGTGCTGGACTGCTTCGTTTCTCAACATATCTTTTGTTTGCAGAAATATTGGAAAGTAAAAAGTTTGAAGTATTGGGACATTTAAAAGTTATTAAAAATGCTGACCTGTTGTTAAAAGTACTACAAGAGGAAGGTCGATATTATTGCATCTGACCTAAGTCATATCTGAGTTTGAACGGAACGGAACGGAACGGAAAAATAGATAAAGTCAGATGGAAAAACAAGTTAGACAGTATTAGTGGGCTCGTTGATAGTTTATACTCTTTGCAAGAGCTCCGATTTTATTCGCGAGTGGGAGTTTTTTAAGACTACGCTCACACAAAAAGCTCTCCACTCTTTCGAGTTTTTTGTTCGCTCCGCTTATTCAAAATTTTTACCCTTTGTGGGTTTTAGACCTTAGTTCTCTTTGGACCAAATCCGTTTCAGGACATTTGGAGTCGATTTCCGTCCGTCCGTCTGTCGGTCTGCTTTGCACGATTACCCTCGAAGAGAGTATCCGATTTGGTCCAAATTCGGTACATCGTAATATTATTGTCAAACATAGATCGTGTTCGGAGATGGGCAATATCGGTCCACTCCTTCTGGTACCTCACCCACAAAATGTGAAAATTTTTAAAGAAAATAATTTACTGCGCAGAAAAGGAAAGGATAATCCGATTTTGTTTTAACTTTGCAAATCCCAATATTTCCATCAGTGCTACAACAGGTGCGAAAATGGACAATATCGATCCACTTCATCAAGTACCTCCCCCACAAAGGGACAACATTTTGAATAATTATAACTCTTATAAATTGTGATGTTAGCGTCCCATTGTCTTCAAATTACACAAATCACAATATTTTTTGAATCCAAGGTCTGCTGTGAAGATGGGATATATCGGTCCACTCCTTCTGGCACCTTCCCCAAAGGATCAAAATTAAAAAAAAAATCAAAATGAATATTCATGAATCTTATTAACATCCGAATCCAATCAGACTTGGCTCATCTAAATATTTTCATCAAAGCAAGATCTGTTATAAAAATGGTAGAGATCGGAACATTTCTTCTGGTACCTGCCCCACAAAGGGTCAACGTTTTGAAAAAAACCAAAACAAGAATAAAATCCAAAATAAACATTCGGTTCTCTTTATTACACACATCGCCATATTGTTTCAAACCCAAGGTCTGGGGTGAAGGTGGAATATATCGGTCCACTCCTTCCGGTACCTCCCCCACAAGCGTCAAATTTTTGAATATCCATGAAAATCATAAAACACGAAATTAACATCCGAATCCGTTCAAACTTGGTACATCTTAATATTTCCTTTAACACAAAATCTGTTATAAAGATGGTACAGATCGTATCATTTCTTGGAATATATCGGTCTTCTGGTACTTCCCCCATAAGGGGTCAAAATTTTGAATATTCACGAAGCTCATAAAACATCCGGATCCATTCAAATTGGGAACATTCCAATATTTCCATCAATATATGAACCCTCATATAGGGTTCAAGATTTTAAAAAACAAAACGTTCAAAAAAATAGAAATACCGATATCTGAATTAGATGAAGTATAAAAATGGAATACTTCGGTCCGCTATATCTGTTACCTCACGCATATTTCCACATTTTCCAAATATTTTCACATACCTCATATAAAGTATAGGAAGAAGCCGATATAGTCCAAATCTGGCACTTTGTAATATATTTAACAGTCTTAGGTCAGGTACGAATTGGTCAATATTGGCCAACTGCTTCGGAAACTCCCCTATAAATCGTCAATCGGCTTGGGTTATAAATCTGTCTGCGAAACCGACTGATACTCTTTTACTTGTTATATGTTTAAATCGATAATTTTGAAGATGATCAACAAAATATAAAAACGTATGTTGGCCTTAAATGGATATTTTTGGGAGTATGTCAGAGGGTCATTGCCTTGAATTCTACATTTTTCCTATATCCAAATTCTGCTAGATCCCAATTTCCAAAAAAAAATATTTATATTAATATACGAATAATGTTCACAACATTTCATAGTTCCCAAAAGTTTCAGTTTTAAATGATAGTGGCAAAATTGTGGCCAACAAAAAGTGTTAAAGCATCTGTTGTGTGTTTACGGCATATCCTTTTTATGTCCTGCTTTTTTGGTTGAATTTTATTACTTTGCTAGGTACAGACTTGCATGTAAATATGTACACACGTAAATGTGTGTGTGTGCGGACGAAAGTACCGTAAATGTATTTGATGTTTTTTTTTTTTATCAACTACAACATCAAAAATCAGCAAAAATAAAATTTGGATGTTGTTTGAACTTTTTTTAAAAAGGCCAAAATTAAACAAAAACATATTTGTTATAAGCCACAAGTATTTGATGAGTATGTATATGTTTTGTAATTGTTGTTGTTGTATTATGTATATGCATGTGTGTGTTCTTAAACAACATTTATGAGATTAACATCAAAAACAACAACAGCAACTTGATATCATCAATCCGATTGACCACTTAAAAAATAAGTTTTTAAAATTGCATCTCTGGACGAACCATTGAAATGAAGTGGATTTGGCAAATGATAAGGACATGGAATTATAACACATAGAAACATTTCAAAAGGATTCTATGAATTTTCAGCAAATGTAAAATATTTGATATGTTATTTTTGTTGCAAATGAAGTGGCCGAAATTTTATAAACAATTTTTTTTTTAATATTTAATTTTGTAGGTAATTCAGTTGTTTATTATTAAAAATGGAAATAATAATCAATGAACCAATAAAAAGAGGAATATTGACGTCATTCGTTAGGCTTGTGAACAGAAAATGAAGCAAGTGAAACTATTAATATACAAATAATATAATATACAAAGGTTTTCCTCTATATTGTTGGCTCAACAAACTTTAAAAAAAATGCGAAGTGAGTACCCGATGCAGTCCAATCCCAGCGTAATATTTCTATTACGCTTAAGTCAAATTGGAAAATTGACAAATTTCGCACCCACAAATGTCAATATTTAATCAGTAACAATTTGCGATTCTTTACAATTTGCTATATCTAAATATTTTACCTCAACCAGAAACTTAAGATGAAACCTGGGACGTCGCAATATTCATATCGTATTTATTTAGATCCGATATGAAATGGACAATATTGGCCCATTCCTTTAGAATCCACTCCATAGAGGTTCAAAAGTTACAATAATCATAACAGAGGTTGCTGAGGTTTGCTGAGGTTATACGTCTGTCGGCAGAACTGACTGATATTTTTTAACTTGTTTTAGAAAAATTCGTATATTGGGAAAAGCCACAAACCTTGAATGAAATGTTGGGATTATTCGACATGATAAAAGTACCATATGACTTTATCTTAGAATTGTAAAGTTTGTTGTCCTTTAGCGTCGAAATTTAGGATTTCTGTTACACCTGAATTTGAAATAATATTTAAATTATTTTATTATACCCTCAGTCATATGGCTAGACAGGATATATATCATTTGAAACGGCCAAAACTTGCCTCATCGAAATAACGACTTTTGACCTAGGTCTATTTAGACCAAATCCGATAACAAAAACTCTCGAAGGGAGTATCCGATTTGATCCAAACTTGGCACATCCTAATATTACTGTCAAACTTAGATCGAGTTCGGAGATGGGCAACATCGGTCCACTGCTTCTAGTACCTTCCCCACAAAATGTCAACATTTTTAAAGAAAATAATTTACTGCACAGAAAAAGAATAATACAATTTTGCTTCAACTTTGGATATCATAATATTTGTATCAGCGCTAGGTCAGCTGCTAAAATGGGCGATATCGGTCCACTCCATCAAGTACCTCCCCCACAAAGGATCAAAATGTTGAATAAATATAACTCTTATAAAATGAGATGTAAGTGTCCGATTATCTTCAAATTACACATATCACAATATTTTTATTAACTCAAGGTCTGGGAGGCAATATCGGTCCACTCCTTCTGGTACCTCCCCCACATATAGTCAACATTTTGAATATCCATGATTATCATAAAACCCGAACTTAACATTCGATTCCATTCAGACTTGGTACTTCGCAATATTTCCATCAACACAAGCTCTGTTATAAATATGATATAGATCGGAAAATTTCTTCTCGTACCTGCCCCACAAAGGGTC